GGACAAATCTCCTTTGGGTAAGGAAATGTATGGCCGCAGAGGAATTCTGTTTTCCTTTTGATTCATGGTGACTAACGGACAAAGCTCTCCTCTTTTATAACCCAACACTAGCACCAGCTTGAAAGAAAAATATAGACATCAGCTCCATTCCAAGTGAATGGGACAGTAGAGCCCAGTCAATGGCAGCACACGGCATGAATCCATGTAACAAAGTCCTTTGATCTTTGAAAGAATAGTGCTAAGAGCCAACAGTGTGAGCCTTTTTCTTTTTTTGTCCTCTTTTTTTTTTTCTTTTTTGTTCATTATACTCATCTGATCCTCTTTCATGTGCCCATGAACTGTTTTATTTGTGTCCCCTTCAAAGTTGAAATTTCTCTATAGTAGTACTGGTTTACATGTGTGAAAAAGGAAAGCATCCTTTTTGGCGGGTGAGCTATAAAAAGAGAAAACTGGCAGAAAAAGTTGAATCTCAGTTCTCAATTATCACCTCTCACCAAAAAGTATAAGTTAGTACCCTAACTTTGAAGAAGAAAAAAGGAATAAACTGAGACTACCAGGCCTCTATCATTCCATCCTGTTATTATGGGTGATGACCACAAAAACAATCTAAAATTTTCTGTGTTGAGATACTACTGCTGAGAATGAGATCACAGCCATACACACTGAGTGTCAGACTTTGGCAAATCTAGGCTTTCAACAAGGTCTACCAAGCCAGACTATGTAGTGACAAAGTGAATACTTGCCATCCAGCTATCAGGTCAGCAGGAAACACTTCATTTAAGCCAAATAAAATAAAACTCGGGGTTGGGAGTGGTGTCATACACCTTTAATCCCAGCAGAGGTAGGTGGATCTCTGAGTTTGAGGCCAGCTTGGTCTACAGAGTGAGTTCCAGGACAGCTAGGGCTCCACAGAGAAACCCTGTCTCAAAACACAAACACAAAATAAAATAAAATGAAAGAAAGAGAGAGAAAGAGGGAAAGAGAAGGGAAAGGGAAGGAAAAAGGAAAGAGGAAAGAGGGAAGGGAAGGGGGAAGGGAAGGGGGAAGGGAAGGGGGAAGGGAAGGGAAGGGAAGGGAAAGGGAAAGGGAAAGGGAAAGGGAAAGGGAAAGGGAAAGGGAAAGGGAAAGGAAGGGAAAGGGAAAGGGAAAGGGAAAGGGAAAGGGAAAG